AATTCCGTCGCTCTTGCTTGACTTGGTTCGTACAATGGGGATAGATGAAAACACAACACAACAATTCACGTTTATGAAAAAACTAAAACTTTATTCTGGTTGTTGTTGTTGTTATTGTAGACAGAATTATCAGGTCTAGATGGAGTTTACTTCTTGGCCTTCTTGGCATCGGCCTTGGCGCCCTCCTCGCTCTCAGCTGCCTCCTTGGCCTTCTTAGCGCGAATGCCAACCAAACGAGCATCAGTACGTGCCTATAAACAAACAACATTGATAAGTAAACAATCAATCAAAATGAAGATAAAGCAATAGAAATAAGTCAGAGCTGAGTCGCACCTTGCGCAGAGTAGCGAATGCCTTGAACTTCTTCTCGTCCTGTGTAACATCACGGAACTCGACAACAGCTGGCAGCTCCTTCTTGAGGGGCATAACTGGTCCTTGCAGCTGGGTAGCCAACTTGCATTCCTCAACAGTTGATTCGCCCTTGCGGATCTTCTTCTCGTTGATGGGGAACAGAATCAGTTTGCTTCTGTATTCCTTCAGGCGCTGAATGTTACGTTGACGCGACTCCAACGACTTGTTCTTGCGACGACGATCGACAGCAATGCCGATGGTCTTGGCGAATTTATAGCTCAAACCAGCACCCTGCAATTGATTAAATTCATAAATTAACTATAGAAAGAAATTAAATTATGAGAATTCACATACCTTCAGCTCCTCCAAGGTGAAACCGCGTCCGGTACGCAACTTTGTGTGGTAACGGATTGTGGGGCAACGCACAACTGGACGCAGGGGACCGCTAGCGGGGCGAGGGAAGACTGCCTTTGCCTTCTTGACACGGTTTTCGTGTCTGCGGACCTTGCGCGCCGGCTGGTTGAACCAGGTGCGCACATGACGCTGCCACCACTTGTGGTAATGCTGGTTTGGAATCATATTGTTACCCTTACCCATCTTGGCGGTTTAGATTAGCTGCAATACAAATTCCAAAAATACACACACATAAATATATGGAGACATTTGCACTATAACCAAATAACGGGGGCATACACCACGTGGCTAGCATATATTTGTCTGTTTTAAGGTCTATTCTAACATAATTTTTAGCATATAGGATGCTCATTTATAGCCTGGTAGGCGGCACAGCTTTTTATCTATTAATCTCATAATATTAGGTGTCACTATTTATCAAAATTTATTTATTTCTATGCGTTGTAAAATTCCACACACCTTTTGCTACCCAACAACGAATCAAAAAGAAAATCGCAGCCAACTTCACGTCATGAGCATACAGTAATAAAATATTTCCCTTGCAAATTACCCCTGCTGCCGCACAAATTTCCCCAGCTATCGATTGGTGATGCAATCAGTGTTAACAAAAACTTCACACAGTTTACATTTTACCGTGGCAGAACGTAAAATAAATGTCAAATGCACAGCGATTGTAACGTGTCAAACAATTAAAAATAAGTATAATACAATTTGTGCGCATCTGTGAAACACAATATAGCCATTTGCCTTATCGATTGACTACTCTGTCGCGTGGCAACTCTGAACTGTACTTTCTGATACAGATAAAAAACTATTGACTATTGAACTGACTATCTATAATCGAGAAATTGCGCGCTTATTTTTTTGTGGCATCGGTAATCAGATATCAATAAACAACCAAAATAAGCTTAAAAATGAACGACGGAGTGGCCAGTTCGCCAATGGTCGTTGAGGCCAAATACGAAGATGTCTCGCAGCTCAATTTCTCCAAACTGTACTCGCCCAAAATGAAAAGCGTCTATTGGCGCTACTTTGGCTTTCCATCAAACGATAATGACGAGGTAATTACCAAGCAGAATGTTGTGTGCATCAAATGCCACAAAGTGTTGACCAATCATGGCAATACCACCAATTTGCGTGCTCATTTGCAACATCGGCACAAAGACTTGTTCAAGGCTCTGTGCCAGGAGAACGACATCCAAGTGCCGCCGCGCAAAACGCCGCGTAATCTCAACCATCCACCATTGTCCAAGCGCAATGTCTCCTCGCGTCGCGTCAAATTGGAATTTATTAACAATCGCAATCATCATGAAAACGATGAGGATGAGGATATGGACGAGGCTGCTGTGGCCGCAGCCGCCATGCAGGCCGAAGATGATAATGCCTCGCAGACAATGCTCTATGAGACAATGGTACCTTTGACTTACGACGATGCCGAGAATCTAGTCGAAGAGGAGGATCGCTCCATTAGCATCGAGCCGCGCGATCTGAAGTACGCACGCAAACGTAAAAGTACAGCCGCCTCGGGCACCATGCATTTCACGCGCGCAAACATCAAGCATGAGGAGGGAGCCGGGGGCATGCAGGTGCGCAGCTATATTACCAATTTGGCCGAAGCTATGGCCGACATTGTTATACATGATGTGCGCAATGTGGAGACTCTGTATGACGCGGGCATCAGTGAGTTCATACGCCTGGCCATGGGCAACTTGTCTTCGCTGCCCATGCCCCAGAAGATTGACGCTCTGATCACCGAGCAGCATGCATCAAAATTCGTTGAAATCGGTGATTTTACTCGCGACTTCACGGCCGAGAAGCCCTATTCGCTGGCCTTCGAGCAGTGGATTAATGTGGAACAGCGACGATTTCTTAGCATCTATCATCACTATTTGAGCGATGAGACGCAGTGCGTCCGCAGCATTATGTACGCCACCATAGAGTATACCGACTACGTCTCTTTCGATGAAGTTCTCGCCGACTTCTATTTGCCCAATTGTACGCTGGCCATAGTCAGCTATGACGAGGAGGAGGATCTGCTGCAGACCTATCTGAAGGAGAAGAGTGAGTAAATGAATAGTTTAAGATTTAAACAAATGGCATATATTGTGTGTGTATACTCTCGAATTGAATGAATAGTTTATCAAGTCTACTTATATAGTATAAACATAGACCCAAATGCGGTAAAAGTAGGGCATTTTTATTTATTGTTTTATTTGTTTATACTTAAATTCATATCATGCTTCGTAGGAGTGAAGTGAGAATATACATAATACAAAGTAGCCCCACTTTGTATATGTATAATAATATAATAATATAAACAAGGATAATATATACGGTATCATATAGTCAGCCCGGAAAGTAGTTGCTAACAGCATATCCATTCATCTATTAATCCTCGATACTTCTTCATCCTTCCCGCAGATATACCCGTTGTGCTCTGCTATGTGTCGGTGATTGACAAATGTCTGCGCCACGTCTTTGAGCTGGAGGAGGTAGCCACAGCACTGGAGCAGGTGAAGGACATCATACAACGTCATTCGGCTGAGATTAGCTCGAAGGTATCGGAGCTGCCGGCATACAATGAACACTTCCCTTGGACTCTGTACGAGTTGCTCAAGTTCTTTGCCGAATCCATATCTTGGTCCGAAGATATGGATCAGTTGGTAATCACAGCCAAAACTGTTACCGAAGCGCTCAGTGCCCTGGTGGTAAGTGTGAATAATGTTCAACCTCCTGTGAAGCGTAAAGATAATGACTAAATCGATCCACCAGATTGCATTGGACACATTGCGTGGCGAAGATATGCCACTTTGCAGCATGTTGTCGCCGATCACATCAAAGATATTGATCAAGAAACTGGGCATTGCTGAGCAGGATGAGCCCCTAATGATGAACATCAAACGTACGATCGCTAGTGTGCTGCAATCGCAGATTATTGCCAATGATACGCTGACCAGCGCTGCGCTGCTTGATCCGCGTTTCCATCGCCTGACCACAATTGATAATCTTGACAGCTGTGTGCGCATGCTAACACAGAAATATAATAAGGCTTTTGGTGGCTCGATGGGCACGGATAGCCAGAGCGGAGATTCGACTGAGGTGGCGTCAGCTGCAAATGTGAGCAGTGCTCCAACAGTCACCATTAAAACGGAACCAAATGTCAAGTCGGGCAGCAGCTCGGCAGCCGCAGTGGCCGCCTCGCATAGCGCAAAGAAATCAAGTAAGTTTGAGTAGCTAACAAATATCAGTCAGAAAATTGTGAAATTAATTTGTAATGGATTTCCTGTAGAATTGGAACTGCTGTTTGATATTACAGAGATACCCAGTGCTCCGAAGCGAGATGCCGACAGCACTGTGGAAACGGATCTCAAACGCTATCGCAACGAGGTAATCGTGCAGCTGGACGAGTCGCCCATTGAGTGGTGGAACAAGATGGGTCATATCTACGGCACGCTGCGCGATTTGGCTACACTCTATCAGGGTGTACCCGGCGTTGTCAATTTAAACTTCAAGAAGGTGCTGCGCGAACAGATTTATGACTACAATAAGCGTTTTATGCTCACTGGCAGCCAGAACCAGATCGACGCGATACTGTTTTTGAATCGTAGCAGCAACTTAAAGGACACAATATATGTTTAATAGATTTTAATGTTTTTATCTATATGGGATATGCATATTGTAATTCTGCTATTCTATAATCTGTAATTAAATATACATACAATAATATCCAAAGGGAAATTGATTTTGAGGCAAAAGGAATTTTTGGTGGGGGAAATTTTTCCAGATATAGGCAAACAAAATGTTGGAAATTGCCCATTGCGACTCTGCTTGCGCTAGTGCTGTAAATGATGCACATTTTGCTACGACTTACAGCACTGTGCAGTTTTTGGTACTGCCAGACAGTTAAATTTGCCCTTATCAAGCGACGGCACTGCAAACATAAAATACAAAAAGTTAACAAATAATTTTAATTTGCATATTGCAGCTCGGCCTTAATTGTTTTCTGTAGACTGTGTTCGTGTGTATGTGTGTATTGAAAACAAGTAATATCAACATGTGCGCTAAGCGCTTGCAAACCGTACGTGGGTGTAGGAGACGTTCCATGTAAAATTCAGATAGAGGGACCCTAATCGTACCAAGCGAACAAACCCACAGACAAACAATAACGGGGCGGCGGCAACCATAACAAAAAAAAAAAAAAAAAAAAAAAAACGAAAAAAAAAAAAAAAAAAGAAACAGCAACAACGAAGACGACGACGGCGATTTCGCTCTGTTGCTGCTCAGCGACTTTGTTTGAGTGACGAAAGCAATACTTGTAGCAAGTTTCCTCAAACAGAGAAACAACGAAACCAATGTGCAGGATGTGCCGTATTGACATCCGTCGCTTCTGTGAAGAATGGCGTATTTGGATAAAGCCGCTCCTGATTGTCACATATGCGATATTCGCGATAATTGTGGTGCCGCTGCTGATTGTGAACTCGGTGAAGGATGGCTTCAAGCAGAACGATCAACTTATACTTATCGGCGGACTCTTCGTGCTCTCCGCCGTGCCCATTTCCATTTGGCATATCATACAACACGTCATTCATTTCACAAAGCCCATACTGCAAAAGCACATAATACGCATACTGTGGATGGTGCCCATCTATGCATTGAATGCGGTAAGTGGGTCAATGGAAGCGGTCGAAATCGAAACTTTTGATTACTCAAAATCATTGAAATCGAATCTTAACCAATTATCGTTCTCATTGAGTGAGTGCTGGATTTTTTGACTAAGAATTTGTATTTTTGTTTACAGTGGCTGGGCCTGCTATTTCCGAAGCATTCCATATACGTGGACTCGCTGCGTGAGTGCTATGAGGCGTACGTCATTTACAATTTCATGGTTTATTTGCTAAACTATCTGAATCTTAACATGGACCTGGAGGCAACGATGGTATATAAGCCGCAGGTGTCACACTTCTTTCCCCTCTGCTGCATGCGTCCCTGGGTCATGGGCAGGGAGTTCATCCACAATTGCAAGCACGGCATCATGCAGTATACCGTAGTCCGGCCCATTACGACATTTATCTCGGTGTAAGTAGAAGATCACGCACAAGTGCCACGTGTCACTTTGTGTATAAGCTGTGACGAGCTCACTTTGGAATTTCGTATAATATATGCGATTCGCAATAGATTAAAGTTAACTGATCCTTAGATGATGAATGACTGATAATTTCAATGAGAAATCTGTAAATTGTTACATACACATATATTACGTTATCATTAACTAAATCTGGCAACTAATTCATTTAATATTAAGATAATTTAAGTGAATTATTTCGATTATACAAATTTAACTAATTATATTACTGATTCATACTTCTCCCCCAGCATTTGCGAACTATGTGGAGTTTACGGCGAGGGCGAATTTTCGGCGAATGTTGCCTTTCCCTACATTGTGGTCATTAACAATATCTCCCAGTTTGTGGCCATGTACTGCCTGGTGCTATTCTACCGGGCCAACAAAGAGGACTTGAAGCCCATGAAACCTATACCGAAGTTTTTGTGTATCAAGGCTGTTGTGTTCTTTTCGTTTTTGTGAGTACCAAAGCCTTTTGAAGTGAAGCCATAAGAATAACAGAATTTCCTCTTTTTAGCCAAGGGGTGCTGCTTAATGCGCTAGTATTTTACAAAATTATTAATGGTATATTTGGTGACGTGGGCGAAGCCAATCTGGCCTCCACGCTACAAGTAAGCGACACTGGCTGGAGTATCTAATCGTGATTTGTTAAACTCAACTCCGTTTCGTCTGTTTCAGAACTTTCTCATATGTATAGAAATGTTTATTGCGGCTGTGGCGCATATTTACAGTTTTCCGCATCATCCATTCCATATCAATTCGCCACAGTATTGGAATAATCCGAACCACAGCTGGTGCCGAGCGTTTCTCTCGATGATGGACATCTCGGACATGCAGGAGGATGTGACGGAGCATCTGGGCGTGGTTAGCAGCTCGATAAGTCGCCGTTTTCAGGGTCGCAGTACATATCAGCCACTGGCGCGTGGTCCGCGTCGTTCGAGCAGCGAGTCCGAGTACTTAATTAGCAAGCGGCAGGAGCCGTCGATGTCAGGTGGCAGCTCCGAACAAGCAGGTAACAGTAATGCCACCTATGGGGCAACAACGAGCCGGTTAATTGTGCCCGTCAATGTGGGGCAACTGGACACCCTAAGTGAACATCAAACTCATTCCCCGTCTCGATTTCCCTTAGCAGGCGCCGATGCGGCTGATGATATTAGCAGTAGCAACAATTACCAACAACAACAACTGCACTTGCCGGGCGCCAATTTGAAACAGTCGACGCGTCAGCGTGACACAAATCAGCATCTGCGCGAACGAGATCAGCAGCATTTTCTTGGCGGTGTTGGGGCGGCGCAAGCGGGTGGCAGTAGCTTTTTGCAGGCGCGTACGACTGCCTCGGCAGCAGCTCCGATACCCGAGTCGAACGATGACTATGCGCTTCTGCTGGGCGCAGGCAGATGACAACGTTATCAGCAGCAGCACATCGATGTGCTGGAGGATGGGGACGATGTAGAAGTTAGTCAAAATTTGAATGCCTCATCGCTGAGTGCATCGCTGTCCGTTTCGTTTGGGATGTCAAGCAGCCTAAAATTTAGCGCCACGTGCAGCAACCAGACTGCATCCGAGTGGTCCAATTCAACGGGCGGGGATGATGACAACGATGACGAAGACGATGACGAGGACGATGACGAAGACGAAGACGATGATGATGAGGAAGACGATGATGAAATAGTGAATGCAGAGAGTGTCGAACAGATGCCAGTTGTAGTTGTCGCATCCACGACGCGCCGTCGACGCGACAGAGAGTACATCACCTAGACCCAATTATTAGTGACAGAGCGATATTTGTGCTTTCTATATAAACACCTATACTATCAGTTATTTCACTTACTCAATTATCGTTTGCTCGATCTATTGGCAAACCAAAATTCCTTTGTATATTAAGCTAAATACTCACATTAAGCTAACTCTTCTGGCAGCCCAATCAAATTGGATGTTTCAAAATTGCGTGGCCTTAGTTTCCAAAGCGATAGCGAGAGCAACAACTGATTTTAAACCATAGCTGCATACTGCATATATAATCGATTTATAGAGATGCATACAATTCCATAGGATCATCATAAATATGTACTTCTATATGCATTGGCCAGCGAAGATTTTTTATATACAAATATATTATAGATTAGGCTCGAACTGTTTTTATACATTCAATTTCAAAATGATAGGAATACATAAATTAGACATATTCAGATAGAAAGAGAGAGAGAATTAACTAATATATATACGATTGCTGTGTGAGTGTCAGTAGCTTGTAATTTGATTAGGCTATTAATACCCTGTATTCGTATACTGCATAGTAGATCAATTGATACATACCCATAAAGCAAACGATTGTGAATGAAGTGACTGCCGGTCAGAAAAGGGCGTAACTTATATTTGAAAAACCCACACATATTGTATATTTAACTAATGTAATTCTCAATAATATAATTATGTAAAAATTCTATTAATGTATTTTCTTTTCGTTTTTTATCTTTTCTAATTGGCATTTTATTTATTTTTTTTTAAAGCACATATTACATTTAATTTGCATCCATTGTGACACCTCTGTTATTTCTTATTTTTATAATTATTATAAAGATGAAATGATATTTATTTTTTGTTGTTGTAAGATAAGCTTGAAATATCTCACTTGGCTTATTGTTGCTTTTATATTCAAATTATTATACTATTTAAAAACTTTTACTATGATATTTTGCCAAGTATTTTATGCAAACGAATTTACATATAAATATTTTATTCGAATTTTTATATAGATGCATAGCATCGCTTAGCTGCTAGTATATTCAATATTTGATGCCTTTTATCCATGACAATACTTAAAGAATGATATTCAAACAGCTAGATGATATATTGATGAATCTGAAAAGCTCCTTGAAGCAGATTTTTGTGAATTCAATTTATTGATTACTCAAGACTGAAATGTTATGTTAAATTCTTACTTTTGCTGACATTCTTTTATTGCCCATATCTGAAATTGCTTTACGCTTTCGCGCAGATTTCTAAATTGCATTTATTTCTCCATTTTTCTCCATTGTACCCAGACCCAGACCGATGGTAAACACACTCTAGAATTTATCAAAACTCTTACTGATAAAATGGTAATATCGTGAATCAGAGCACACGAGTCCGTATGTTCTGCACATGTGTGAGTGTGTGAATTATTTATCAACTTTTTAGAGTGCGTTCGCCCGATAGGCACCTCCAATTAATTCAGCAATTTCATCAAATCAGCGCCCACAGCCATCAATAGATTTCAAGCGTTGTTTGTTTATTTTTTTACAACATTTGATTATGTTTATTGTTTTAAGCATTTTATGTCTTTTCGTAATACTTGCATTCTAAGATTAGAACAAATAGAAAATCAAAATAATAATAGAAAGAAAAACTTAATTACCTGACGTATTAAAATTTCCTTTTTTTAATATTTATAAGCGGACGATTAACAAAATAGAGGAAAAATAAACAAAACTGGTGACAAGGACAACGTTTTTAAGTACAGGCAGAAGAAGCATAATCAAAAAACATATATATATAATTATTTAAATGGCATTACGAATGCTTTCGTAGGAATATCGTATAAAAATCCAAATTGCCGTTAAACATAAAAGAAAAACATGAAACAAAATTCGCTTATCGAAACACAATTCGAATACAAACAATTTCAGTCCAGGGTTTTGACACTTGTCGTGAACGAACGGATAATAATATTATAATTTGTAAATGTATTTCCCGTAAATTTAAAAGCGCGCTCTCCAATTAAAGGCACACACCAATTGCTTTCGAATTTATACACGCATCGACAACAACAGCGAAAATTGTTGTCGCCATTAATTGTTGTAGTTCTGCCTGCCGCCCAGCTCCAGCAAATATCGATCCGGATGATCCATCCAATCGGCGGCTGTTAATTTGACTGTACGCTGACGTTCCGCCTCCTTGATTTGCCACTTTTTAATATCCAATTGCACATCGCGAGATGATTTATCGCCGCAGCCCCAAACCTGTAAGAGAGAGCGTCGTTATTCACCTTCTTGTTGTTGTTGTTGGTAACAATTTGTTGTCTCGGAATTGAATTTGTTTTGTTTTGTTTTGTTTGGTAAAGAATTTAGACTTCATTTGTATGTACACACACTTTCGCGCCCTACTGTCGAGTCTGGCCTCGATTGAACTTAAGTAAATTGACTCCGGCAATGATCAAGCGTCCAAGTTCGATGGCCTTGACTCTAGCAGCGGCTCGAAAGTGTTGTTTGTAAATGCTTAGTCTGGCCCGTTGATATATACATACATACATACATAACTACATATAAGTATATACATATTATATTATATTATATGCGATAGAGCATGGCGACATTTCTATGAATTTTTTATACCATATATACTATGTTGACTAAGGCTTATTGCACATATAAATATACAATATTAGCAATTGAATCAATTTACCTCAATGGACCTAAGACCTGCCGCAATGCCCTTGCAGTCTACATTCTCAAAATGTTCATCTACCGCTATGATGGGCTTGCGGGGATCAGCTCCAGCGCGCAATCCCTTCGGATAGCCGCGAATGCTGGTGTTAAGGTACAAAATATTGGGCTTCTTTTCCAGTATCACAAATCTACAAAAAGAAAAAAGTTAATATTATATATTCTGTGATCTTAGTAGACTCCCAGTACACTCACTTGGGCAACAGCTGTATCACACAGCTGCCCTCTGATCCGACAAACAAATGGGTCTCCTTCCACTCACTGGGCGCCGCAATGCAGTAGGTCTGTTTGTCGTTTGTGTGCAGCAGGACCAGCGTAGGTCCGCGATAGCCAAGAACGTGGTGCAAGAATCGATTGGCACCGACGCCATGCTCGTTGGAGTCGTACAGCAGGGTCCAGTGTGATGGCATCATCGAGAGTTTATCCTTGAATATCTGCACAGCTGACTGGGCGCTGCTGTTGTTGCTACTGTTGGGCGGCGTAATTGTACGCGGCTTGGAATAAAGTGGCGGCAGAGCGCCGGCCAGCAGCCAGGCCTGTGAGAGTGGCATCAGCGACTCCATGTGCACGCTTTGCGCATTATGATCCGTTGCATCAGCGGATGCAAATGGATTGCGTTGCTCGATGACTGGCGTTTGCAGCTCAAGGCCACACGATTGTGTCTGCTGCTCCAGACCACGATATGCTGTGGAGAGCGTATGCACACAATACTTGTGCACCAGTAAAACAGGACGTATCAGATTCTGCTCGAACCATCGGCAAACGAAGCCCAAACTGAGGCTGTCGTGACTGAAAAATATCGACTTTGTCACCGACTCAAAAGTCCTGTTGATGGAGCGGCAGAGCACCGCGTTTCCCGAGTGCTGCATGGCAATCGTATAGCAGATATGCAACAGACGCGTGACGCCCACTTTATCGATGAAATCGGGATTATCCACCTGTGCGTACATCTTAATGTAGCTCTCCAGCACCTTAGTATCGTCCATTATGCCCAAAAATCTTTCGCATTGCTGTCGAAAGGCTACGACACCCAGATGCTTTGTTGTTGCCTTCGAGTTAACGTGCATTAATTGAAAGAGACGATGGCCCAAATCAGTGTACCCAGGGAACACTTGAGACTGCGTACGAGTGTGTGTGTGTGTGCGTGCAATTAAATGTTGTCAAGTTGCTATAAAACTGTTATCAGATAATTAATTGTGCTTGCTCACCACAAAAACATCTGACACAATGCCATTAATGCCGTACTTGGCACTCGTCTGTTCCTTTAATATATCAGCCAGGCGCTCCACTGGCACCAGCTGTGTTAGGTGCTTCTCCGTCACATCGGCGCCTGATGCGGATCTGGTCATTGTTTGTGTTTGTGATTGCACCTTGAGACTGTTATTGCTGCCGTTGCCGTTGCCGCCGCCGTTGCCGCCGCCGTTGCTGTTGCTATTGCTGACAACAATATCGCTGGCATTGTTGTTACCGTTCGATGACTGTATGCTAGATTTGTGATGTTGCTGGTTTTTATGTTTCCCACCATCCAGAGGAGGTTCGCTGCCCTCGCCATCAGGCATCGCCTTGGCACTCACATTGTTGCCCATTTTGAAGTTTTGGTTGTGATTGTGTTGTGTTCGTGGGTCCAAACTTCGACGCAATTTAATTGCAAAAAAAATTCCTCAATGTTAAAGGGGCAGAAAAAGGCCCAAAACGCAGGTTTGCTTTGAAACCAGCCCAACAGGTGCAGGGTAGATTTTTGTGCCAACTACGCCACAGTAACAAACCAGTTATGAAACACAAGCTCACATGAACATATCAAGACTATACTAATGAATCAGTTAAATATATTTACATAATTATATTTGCTAATCAAAGAAATATAAAAAAACCCAAACAAAAACAACCATCACCAGCTGGGTAATTTTGTTATCGATTAGTGCTGAAGCTATTTAAAATACGCCCATCGCTAGAACTTTAAAAACAAATATGGGTGGGTGTTGGTATGTTTAAATTATTTTATATATGTATGTGTTTTATTATTCTTCTAACACATACCACATAAAATACGCCGAAATGAGGTCATCTATATTAAAAGTGTCCTTTGAAACACGCCATTAAAATTAATGGCTTTTTCTGCTCAGCTGAGCGAACAGCTGATGGCCGAAAATCAGCTGTTATATTTTAGAGCATTATCCCTTGCCTGCTGAAAGTTCAACAAACTCATTTGTATGTTATTTACTATAACGTACTTATTTACATTATTGTTAACTGATTAACACACAAGTGCTATTAGCTATTTCTCTAGTTGAACAAGAAAAGAAGTGTGGTAGCAATGGTAGCTGCTGTAAACAAACTGCAGAAAAGCATAAATTCTGATGAAGATGAGCCCTCTAGGCCTGCCCACGTCCAAGGACCGGCTTCGTCAAAGCTGCACGGCTCAAGTATATTGTTGGATGCTAATTCGACAAAACGGAAGAGTGCATTTCTACCATATCGTCCTCAATCGACGGTCCTGACGAATTTGCAGCGCGGCAACACAGAGGCCACATTTTGTCCTGTGGAGGTTACGCTGTCCTTCCACGAACGTGCTGGTCAAGGCGAAATCACAGAAGAGCAGGTTAAAGCTGAGCTATTGCGACAAAAACATATTGATTTCAGGGACTCCCATGGATTCACGCCTCTGCACTGGGCCTCATCCTATGGCCAATTGGTATCAGCGCAATTACTTGTAGCGGCTGGTGCTGATGTCAATAGTCTGGCACCGGATATGGTTACGCCACTGCTGCTCGCTGCAGCTGGGGGCCACAATGAGATTGTGCGATTCCTACTTGATCGCGGAGCTGTGTCCACGCATATGGACATTGTGGGCAATACAGCACTTATGTACGCGGCAGCTGGCAATCATCCGCACACTTGCAACGAGCTGCTGGCCAGGGATCTGGACTTTAGTGCCACCAACGAGAATGGGGAGACAGCATACGCACTGGCCGTCGAGCATGGGTCGCATCTGTCCCAGGCTCTGCTGGAACAGTATATGACTGCCGTGCTGACGGCAGGAGCGCTGGGCAGCATTTAATAAAATATACATAAGAGATTTATAGACTATAATATAGTTTTAATAAAAAGTAATTTAAGTTGATTTCCAAACTAGAACTCGAACATTTTATTCTTGCTCTTTCGCGTCTGCTGCTCCTTGCATAAAGTTATCTCCTGCGCTTGCAGCGTAGCCAGCTCTTGCTTCTGTGCCTGGAGCTGCACATTCAATCGCTTCTGCAGCTGCGCATCCGTTGCATTGCGTGCCAACGACTGCTGCACTTTGGCAATGTCACGCTGCTTTCTGCGTATATCGTCTGCAACTCGCACCGTCTCCACATTGAGCGTTTTATTTGAGTGTTGCTGCAGATTGTTCGGCTTTGTTTTCTTGTTTGCATTCTCGGTCTGCTGGCTGCCCTGGCCCAGCACGCTGGTATTAAGAAAGGCAAACACATCGGCACGTTTCGCTGCACGTTCGTAGGCCTTTTCATTCGCAGCTTCCTGGCGACGTTGAGCGCGTTTCAGTTTACGCTCCACACTGAAGTAGTCCTTGTCGCCGTTGGCTGCCTCACGCAGCTCCATGCAAGCGTCGAGCGAGCGGCCCTGTGGCAGTATCTGTGCGCTAACGGGCGTGACAATACCCCGACCATCCGAGCCCAGGCCTGTGCCGTGTATGTAACCCATATTGGCCATCAGTTTGGAGCCTATGCCCTGAAAGTAATAAAATTTAGTTATTGAAAACTGGAACAGAAGTTCTTCAGAAAACTTACTCGTGTATACTGCTCCCAGGCACCCAATCTCTCGGTGGGCTTGAACGTGAAGAGGCTCAGCTCTACCATGCGTGCTTGACGCGCCGCTTCGAAGTCGTCCATGTCGGAATCATTCCCCGCATCGTTTCCATCAGTTTCATTAGACTCTTCACTGTCGCTAGTCAGGTCGTCATCTTCGGCAGTGACCAGAGGAAAAAGTTCCTCAAATGGAAAGTCTCGCTCACGCTCCTTGTGCTCCTGGCCATCCAGACGCACACGACATTGCTGCTCCACAAAATTGACGCATAGCACCCGACCACGGTGCCACAGTCGATCTTGCAGCTTGGCCAAAACTGGACAATTGCGTGCAAGTCTATGAAAGTCGGGAGCATTGTAATCCTTAATGGATGCTCCTGGTACCAGAGCCCCGTGCGAGTAACGACATCGCACTTCGTCAAATCTACATTCGCCCTCCAAAAAATAGTTACAGGGCAACATCTCGCGGTGAGTTGGATTTGTGAAGAGAACGCGCAGTCGCACGTCCAAAATACCATTTTTATCCACTATCAATTCATCATCTACCCCACATATAAGTGCATTGTGATAGCTGAGAGCACCCCAGCTATGCTCATGGGGTGCGGAGCACTTTTCCCCCAATAGACCATTATATTTGGTGCGTAGTTCTTCCAGCCGTTGTTGATCCTCGCCGGGATCAGCTTGCTGGTGCTCCAGGTCAATTAGTTCACTTTGAAAACGTTGTAGTTCATCGTCTATATTATCGGATGTCTCAGGTGTCTTTGTGTTGCTGGTAGCTTCAGGCTCACTGCCTCTGGTCAGAGCCAAGAGTTCCTCCAAATTTGTTTGCAGGGCTATTAATTCATCGCGTTGCTGCTCGTCGGATGTTACAAGCAGCGCCTGCTTAACCACCAGCAACTGAAATTGAGAAGAAATTTATTATGCAATTTTATTATAATCAGGTAAATCTCACCTGGGCTTCGTATTCATCCATCCTCTACAGTTTAAACATTTTTGTTTATATTTTACAAAAATATCTAATTTTGCCAGTTAAAATGAATCGGCGACATGCTTAAGGCTAGTATGCCGCTCTTATAGAAAAGAGATGATTTAAAAATGCTTAATTTTATATGTGTAAAATTGATTGATTATGCATGGGTCCTTTATTTTAATTTAATTTAAATGAAAAATGTATAAATTTAAAATAAATAAATAAATTTACTTTCTATTAAATGCGAAACCAAATACTTTTGCTCATGGCGAATCGATTATGTAGTTTACCAATCTGAAAATAAAACAGTGTTGAAAAATGTGGTAATCGTGTTGCACAATTTATCGAGGAATTTCAACGGGCGCCACATGCTTGTGTTTATTTACCTTTTGTGCTATTAAATAAGTCCATTTAAAATGGCTTCGCTTTTTATGCTGGACACAGCTGGCCATATAATGCTCGCGCCGCGACTTTTTCTGACGAGCACACACCTGCTGAAGCGATACACCTGCAAAATAAGCGCAGCAGTCGAGCCGGCAGTGCTTGCCGACTTGGAGCAAGCGGCGATCAAACCGAGGAAACATCCCGGCATTATAAAACCCAACTTCATCGAGCTACCCAAGCAACTGAGCGACACGTTAAAACGCATTGTGGGCGATCATCCTGTGAAAAAAGTTCTGCGCGACAGTGAGCTGCTCAATCGTTATATAAAAGCTCGCCATCCGCCGCCAACGCCGTTGGAAATCGAAAATAAGAAACGACTGATTATAGAAGAGATCAATGCAAAGATGCCATTGGAACGGCTTGCCACGCTCAGTGAGGAGGAGACGGCGCGTTGGCAGCGAAAGCGTGAATTAGAGATTAATAGGCGTTTGGGCCAGCGCACATACGCTTGGAAACCCATCGAATACGGCACCTACGAAGCTATCGTCTATGCCGTGGGCAGAGCGGCCCAGGAGTATGCGGTAATGAAGCGCGTGCTCTCCGAAATTCAATTGCGCGATGAACAGTTCAAGCCGCGCAGCTACATCGATTTTGGCTCAGGCATCGGCACCGGCATGTGGGTGGCTAGTGAACTGTGGCGGGACAGCATCTTTGAGTATTACAATGTGGATCGATCAAGGGAAATGAACGAACTATCTGAGCTCATCTTGCAGCAGGGACAGGAGAATAAACAGATTGCGTTGCGCAATGTTTTCTATAGACAATTTTTGCCCGCAATCGATACAAAATATGATTTAGTTATTATTTCACACACATTATTCGAGCTGCCCGACAAGCAGCACCGCCAGGAGGCTCTGTTGAATCTGTGGCGCAAATGCGATGGCTACATGGTGATCGTGGAGGAGGGCACACGCAAAGGCAGTGAGCTAGTCAATGAAGCTAGACGGTATCTGCTCCGTGCTGGCGAGGAGCATGCCGGTCACACGCTGGCGCCAGTGAGTAGATAAAAATGCATATACAATCGAAAGTTAATCCGTTCATTTTGCAGTGCCCGCACGATTTGCGATGTCCACGTCTTCGGGATTTGGCTGATCGTACGCCGTGCAACTTTGAAATTGCCTATACGCCGCTGCGAATTAGCAGTGATTCCGTAGTGGATCGTCGCACTTCTACGTATAGCTATGCGATCTTAAAGAAGGGTCCCAATACAGATGCCACTCGCCAATGGCCACGCATTGTGCGTCCCACTTTGGTGCGTTCGAAGCATGCGATTTGTCGCGTTTGCACGGAGTCTGGCAATTTGCAGGAGGTCATCTTTACGGCTTCCAAGCACGGAAAGTAAGTATAGAATGCTCTTCCATTTCCCATTTGCACACTAAATGGTATCCATTGCAGAGCGGCCTACAGCTGTGCTCGAGTCAGTCGCTGGGGCGACCGTCTGCCAATGGCCCTGGGCACGCCGCAAGCGAAGCAAAACAAAGCCAAACCGGAGCCAGCGGAACAATCTGAACTGGCGTAACTCACAATAGTGTTAAGGCATTTTGTTGTTAACGATATCGATTGGCTTTAAATATAAAGCAAACAATTTGTTGCTCTAATTAAATACAAACAAATCGTTGCGCAGCGTAAATTTTGTTAATTATTTCGACGCACTAAACTGGCATTTCCTTGATAGTAAATCAAACAGCTAGCGCACCCTCAACTAGCATTTAATGGCAAAAACACAAAGAGCTGGAAAAAAGTAGAGCGACACAAAGCAGCTAAACAGTTGGATTAAATTGTTTTCTATAAGATATACGAACGAGTATATAAGCGTTGTGTTTCGCCAATGGGCATCAGTGAAAACACGCCCATTGCTTATGTTCCAGTCGCTGGCACCGTGGATGGGTGTACGGATTTTATTACAGCAAACAGAGAATTTTATAGATTATATATGTGAGAAGAAATAAAATTGCAAAGCTTATGTCTGCAGAGTCGGTTTTATGATCGAATCATTATTAAATTTACAATTTCACAAGGTTGTAATATCCAATTACAAATTTTTAATTATTATTGGGGAAGCTTACTTACTTTCAAATACTCTATACAAAACTAAAAGAGAAAAGGATATAGGCTAGAGTGAAAATTGCAGAAAAGAATCATATCTTTATACACATATTTACTTATATTTGTATATAAAAAAAATTAATTA